AAGTCTTCCTACATCAAGATGAAGTACGGTTAAATTTATGTTTGTAAACATCATGGTAAATTATGCTTCACCGTATCTCTGTAACCATCAAAGTAAATTATGGCTTACATGTACCTGTATATAAGGATAAATTATGTTAAATGTATTTCTGTAAACATCAAGGTAAATTATGGTTATATGTATGTCTAAAAACATCAAGATAACTTAAAGTTAAATGCACGTCTGTAAATTATATTTAACGTATTTCTAAAAACATCAAGGTAAAATAACGATATTATATATATATATATATATATATATATATATATATATATATATATATATACACACACACACACACACACACACACACATATATATATATATATATATATATATATATATATATATATATATATATATATATATATATATATATATATATATATATATATATATATATATATAAAACATTAGACAAGATAAAATGTATGTCTGTAAATATACAAATAAATTATGAAAAATGTATGACTGTAAACATTAGGATAAATTATGATAAATGTGCGTCTGTAAACATCGAGTTTCAAATATGTTATATGTATGTCTGTACACATGAAAATAAATATTGTAAGTGTTTATCTGTAAACATCAAAGCAAAGTATTGTAAATGCATGTTGTAAACGTCACGAGAAAATTATATTTAACAAATTTCTGCAAAGATCATGATAAGTTATGATTAAATCTATTCAGCAAACATCAAGATAGCCTGTGGTTATCTATAAAACTCATGGTAACTTATTGTTAAATGTATGCATGTATTGATCATAGTAACTTATGATAACATTTTTGTAAACATTAAGGAAAACTAGTTATTTTAATGACTAAATAATATGGTAAATTATGTTTGTGAACATCAACTGAAATTATGGTTTAATGTGTCTCTAAGTAGTCTAGCAAAATATGCTTGGTGCAATTTCTATATTCAGTGTACAGTTTTCTGATATATTTTTTCGAAGACTGCTTCTCTTGTTTTCTGTCAGGCTATTATTATTTATATCAGGATTAGTATTTTACCTAAAACTCCTCATTTTCAGGCAAATTACATTTGTCAGCTTCTTCGAAAGTATGCTCAAGGCAGACTATGGTTCGCACGGGAGACACCGTGGCGTAGCCACTGGATGCTCGCCTGTAGATTAGAAGGTCGTGGGTTCAGATCTGAACAGAACCAGACTTTATTTTCAAAAATGGGTCGACCAAACTTTTAATGAGTACCAGGCTGACCGCATGGCCCATGAAGTGCCCACTGGTCAATAAAATATAAATCTAGTATTAGGGCAAATAGTTTATAAAGCGTGGAAAAGAGTGCTTTATTGTTCTAACTACAGTTTGCAGGAGATAAAGAGTTAAAACAATCACCAGAGGCCACACTCCCTCGCCATAAACATGAACAGTTGTTTCTAACATTCATTACTTTTCGGTTGATCAGAACTCATCCACGATTTTTTCTTTCTTTTCCCCCATTTGACTGATGCCGACGAATCTTTTCTGCATGCTGGAGGCATCTCTTCTCTGGATATATGGGATGGATCCTTGTTTGTGGATGTTTTAGAAGACAGACGTATTTCTTCTTTGGACAACTGTGATGGTTTACTGTTTATATGTTCTCTAGAAGCTTGTGGAATCGCTTCACTGGAGAACTGTTGTGGCTTATCATTTGCAGATGCTTTTGAAGCTTGTGGCATCTTTTTTCTATAGTGCCATGGTGGCTTGCCTGCATATGCTTTCGAAGCTTGTTGCATCTCTTTACCAGACAACTGTGGCTTATCATTTGTAGATGATTTGGAAGTTTGTGGCATCTCTTCTTTATAGCGTCGGGGATGCTTGTCTGCATATGCTTTTGAAGCCTGCGGTACCTCTTCTTTGGACGACTCTGGTGGCTTATTTTCTGTATTTTCTGTGGAGCCTTGTGGGATCTCTTTTCTGGACGGCTGTGATGATCTTTTGTGTTTGTATGCTTGTGGTCCCTCTCTTCCAGCAAACCACGATCGCTTATTTTCCGGATATGCTTTAAAATCTTTCGTCATCTCTTCTCTGTAGGCTCGTGAATGTTTATTATTTCTAAACGCTTTGGAGTCATGTGGCATCTCGTCTTTGTAGACCAGTGGCTTATTTTTTACGTATGCTTTGGGAATTTGTGATTTCTCATCTTTGGACAGCTGTGTTGGCTTATTAATCTGTCTGTGAAATTTAAATGAATAAACCGAATCAGTGATGAGAAGGTGAAAGAAGAAAATACCACAAAAAAGAGAAGTCTAAGCAAATTTCCTATATTAAGATTGTACCTTATCTGGTTTCCCCCCCCCCCCCCCCCCCCCCCCCCCCCCAGTGAGTGCAACTGTTTGACTGAAGTTCAAATACACAAGCTATACATTGCATATCCGTGTGGGATCTAGGACCCCTTGGTGGGGGGGGGGGGGGGGGGGGGGGAGGGGGAGCTGGTTGGAAGGAGGGGGGGGGAATACACTTGCTGCCTCTAACAAGCATATCTCAAGGGTCGACCAGTCGAAGTGCATCTGCCTAAGAGACGAGGAACCAACAGGCTGCTAAAAAAAAAAGGCAGATCTCTAAATCAGATATTTTTGTGCTTCAATATATCTTAATACAATTTAACCAGACACAGGGAGTTTACATAGTAATTCAGTAAAGCATCCTTTTTCATGATCCCTAACGTATTAGGTATATAGTACTGGACCTATGAATTACAGGCTAACTGATACTTGGTTAGGGATGTGGTTAGCACCACACCGGTCACCTCAACATTTCTGGACTTCACCTGGTACCAATTTTAGGCTGGGTCAACTTGGGAACCAAGGTGATTTTTACATCAACAGAACCCGAGTTAATGTGGATTTGATCCCATCAAGTCGGCCCAGTAGGAGAACTTCTAGCTGCTACATCGCTACGGCTGCAATTCAGTAATTTTAGGTATATTATGAAAATTATTGAATATATATATGTGGCATACGGCGTCCATGGCGTAGGTGTTGGGAGTCCGACTTGTAATTTCAACGTTCCGCTATCGAAACCCACTGCTGGCTGCGTGGATTTTTATCATGGTATGGGACATTGCAGGTCGACCCAGGGTAAAATGGGTACTAGGTTTGCTGTCCTGGGGAAGTAAGGACGGCTGACCACATTACCCACCTAGTGCCGATTAGTCTATAAAAATATGGGATGCGCTTCCCATATGCCCGAAGCGCCTAAGGAGTGAAAAAAGATCTATACTTTTTCACTTATGTGTGGCATCTTTAAAAAAAAAAAAAGGAAAACTATACAGTTTGCAATTTTAATCAGGTAATCACAGTTCTAAGTTTATAGCAAACGAGTCACAACATTGTGGTTCTGTCCCTGAGTCAAGGAAAACCACACAGAATTGGAAAAAATGGACACAGACTACCATCTCAGAATCCAACAGCATACACATGCATAAAGCAGCCGTAAGAAACGACAACACAATCAGTCCTACACTACAAATACAGTTCACAGTCGATAGAGGTAGCAGTTACAGTAGATCAGTAGTTGCACACGCAAATAATAACATAAGGCACCACCAGTTCTGTGGCAACAGGCTACTAGCCAGTTTCTGAATCTACGGTTCCAAAAACAAAAAACGTTGGACACTGCTGAAAATCCTTCCAAATGAAATCAGCAGCTCCTAGTGTCACACCATGCACTCAGCTCAATAGCTGGGCGATGAAACTATATCCTTTTAGTCTAAACATGGATAAAAATGCAACAGCCAACTTTTGTCAGAAGCAGAACTTTGCCACAATTTTAAAACTGTAAAACTCTATGTCCTCCATATTGACCGGAAGTCTCACTTTTTTTTAACATACAGTAAATAGTCAGTTATATTCAACCGACAAGACATTATGTTACTCTGTACCCACAGTATGTCCCAATTTAACAATTTCACGCGATAGCATGGAGTGCTAGGGATTTGCCTAGGTTTGATTCGCATTGAAAACATAGCTCTTTGAGTCACTCGTTGTCAGTCTTTAAGGCTGCAACCCTGAAAGGAAAACTAAGTTTTCGCCACGGATCCAGGGCTCACTAATAAAAAGAAAAAGAAAAAGACAAAAGTGGACCTTAGCTCTAAAGTTGACTCAGCTTAAAAAATGGATACCAGAAAATGACAGAAAGTAAAGGCAGCTGGTGCAACGATGACTACAACAATCACAGAGTGCCGAATGATTTATTTAGTATAGGTTTGGCCTGGTACACTCAAAACCTGAGAAGAGTCTTGTATAAATTTATTTTACTGTTACAGTTGTAGCTTTTGTAAAATGTTTTATCTAAATAATAATAATAATAATAATAATAATAATAATAATAATAATAATAATAATAATAATAATAATAAAGTACACTTTTCCTTGCCTTAATGCATAAAGGCATATAGGGCTAGACCTATATTTTAAAGATCAATCGGCACTTAATGGGTGATGTGGCCAGCATCACGCTGGCCGCCACTACATCTCATTACTTCATTTGGTACCCACTCAAGGCTGGGTTGACCTGGGAGCCAAGGTCATTTTTGAAAAAAACAAAATGTCTGCCTCTGTCAGGATCCGAACCTAGACCTTCCAATCCACAGGCGAGAATCAAGCCATTACACCATGGCGACTCCCTTTATCAAAATAAATACCTTAAAAACATTAAAATGATCTGAGTTGAGTTGATTCAAGAACCGACATCACAGCACTCAAGGCATTCCCATAAGCGCACCGTAGCAACTTCAGTAGCCAATGCACAGTTCCAATTTTAGTGGTGCCAGTACCTGATTAAATGTACGTGTTGCCTTTCCTCTGAGCGTTGAGTATCGTCCACATCCCCTCAACATTCATCGCTGCATTACTCTCACCAGACTGTGATGATCAATTTGTCTGTTCCTTAAACACATCTGCCTTATTATCCATCAGTATTTCACCAAGTAGTGCAGAGCCAGCCAATCAATCCGTCTATTCATGTCCCACCGCATGATTTCTATGCCATAAAGAAGCATACTGACAAATATGACTTTCAAACAGTGAACATGAAAAATTACCCAGCATGGTCATCACGTTCTGGGACTGATGTCTCCGGGGTCGGGTTTGGGTTGTCAGGTTTGGGCAAATCTTGAAAATTTCTCTCAATCAAATGGCAAAGCATCTGTTTGAAAAATAAAATATCATTTAAGTTCCTGTATCGTTTTCATAGTTTGAAATTTAATAACAGTTTAAAAGTTAGTTGTGTATCATTTACACGACGTTGCAGAACCAACACCAACTTTTAGTTGCTTTTTTGTTTGTTTCATCAAACAATTTTGGGTCAGTAGTTTGTCAATGCCCTAAACATTCGGCTTTCAACATCACTGTCAAAATTAGCGCATATCTCTGAATTCTGTGCAGCCGAATCGAACTTGAACAAAAAAGAAAAGAAAATTAAAATTGTGTAATAAAGATAACGCTTTTGAGCTGAAATGCTATAGAAAGATTCTCAGAATATCTTGGACAAAGAAGAGGAGAGATACTGACATCTTGAAAGATCTGAACATCAAGGAAGATTGGCTAATAAACAGCATCCTGTCTCGGAAGCTGAAGTATTATAATTATAGCAGAAGACATGGTAACAGAAAGGAGATGGGAGAACTAGCGAGAGACCGAGTTACTTTCAGGCAGACCGCGATGAGAGTGACGTTCTGCAAAGGACCTGCTACATGATGATGGTGTTGAATAAAGATAACAGTAATAGTGGATGTAACAGTGGTAATATTGTTTTAGTAGCAACAGTAGTAGTGTTTATTAGTGGTAGTAGCACAAGGTGTTAAAAAAAATAATAGAATAACACCCTTCTCTTCTGGTATGTACCCTTTGTGGCAAGGTGTCACAAGGTAGTCTCTCTAAGTGAGAAAACCAATTTATCTTGCTGTCTTTGCCTATAATTTATAATTGATTCTGTGCCGACTTGTTCTCTTATGACCTTATTTCTGATTTTATCGTATCTGGTTTATTCCTTAAACACTTCTCTGACATTTCTTTTCCATCGCTACTGATTTTTTTTGGTATGATTTGCTGTGTTAGAACATATCTGGCACTGGAAGCATACAGTGGGAATGAATAGACTTTGTATGAGATGTGTGTTTGTGCTGATCGGGACTGTTTTATGTTGTAAGGGAAAAAAAGGGGCGGGATTGGGGGGGGGGGGGGGAACTAGCTGTCCTAATACTCGTCATCATTATTAGTATCATTACGTGCTGAAAAGCAAAACAATATTATCAGCGGACGTCCTGGTTATGGAACAGTTCAGTGTGATGATGATGAATATTGTATGTTTAGAAGAGTGAACTCGAACTAAATTTAGAGCAGGTTTCAAACAGGCTCATACATGGAGAAATCTGTGTTAGCTGAACGAAGCTTGCTGAACGTCAGCCGATTTCACGGAGTGTCCACTGGACAGTGAACTCTGGGAGTTCAACAAAACGTCTATGAAAAACACAGATCGGGTCTCTTGGCAGAAGACCTGAGTGACGAGGACGTGTTTTGACCCGACCGTTAGATTGTACTAGTTCGTTGACAAGTTGTAATAACTTTTGGAAATCTGGCGTGTTAGATGATAGCTGTAATTTGTACCGTCCTGTGTTTAACTAAATGTGTTTAGTACTTTACGGTGTAGGTAGTAAGTGATTCATTTAGATCTTATTTAGTAGTTAGATTCAGGATAGCAGTTAGAATTTGTCAGTAGTGATACCTTGTTATGGGAAACAAGACCATACATTGTTTGTGGCGTTAGCATCTGCCGACGCACCTCCAACCCGCACTCGGCATGTGGCATAGCGTCTTTGGCATCAGGAGACAGCGAGTTGATTTAGCGCTGTACGGAAGTGTGGTAGGAGCTCAAAGCTTATTTCATGAACGTGAAAAAGTGCGTCTATAGCGATTTTAAAGTTAGAAGCGGCCTGATTTCGGAATAAGGAGCACTGACCCTCCTGAGGCACATACCACTATGAGCTCGTATCCTCAGATAATAAAGATTATGTGTGTGTTCAACCAGTGTTTGGCTTGGGTGTGTTCGTTAGCAGTGTTTGTCTGTCATTAGCCTGCAGCGCAAGCGTATAGAATCGAACCTTAGGCATATAGGTTCTTGACAGGTATATATGTGTATAATAATAATATTAAATTTCAAACCTTACAAATGTTTAAACCAATTCTTTGAAAGAGAAATTATATACACAGGGTTAAGGTTTTTTTTTTCTTCTACAGATTTTACAAACATATTATTGTTAAAAAGGCGTAAAAGTATCAGCAACAAAATTGTATACTTACAACGTCATCTGCAGAAGCAAAAGTCTTCAGGACCCGCGATGATGCTTGCTCTAACATTAATAATTTTGATTTGTCTTCCTCAGAATTAGACACTTCGTGTATCCTTTTGTTTCTTTTATGAAACACAATCTCAGCTCTGGTTAAAATGTCGGGTGTAGCTTTAAATTCGCCAAGATCTTTGATGACTGCCTTGAGCTCTGTCTCCATTTCATTATCATCTGGTTCTTGGATATCGTCAGGTACGTTGATTTTGTCTAGATCAGACAGACAGTAGAACCAGAAGCATCGCAGAAGTTCTGTTATAAATTCTTCCTTTTGCTGGTTCGTTAATCTTCCCTTGATGTTCAACACTGCATTTTTCCGGGTTCTCAAGAGCTGTATGGTTGCGGATTCTTCCTTGCTCTTTATTACAGACAAAATTGTACTGAGAACAAACGCGCATTTTATTTGAAAGGAGACAGCACGAAGCATCACAATATTGGTAACCTTTACTATATCAGTAGTTACGAAGTCCTTGATTTCAAGAGAAGGCTTGAGGGACCTTTGAGATGCAAGTAAGTCTGCTTTTTGTTTGTCTGATACTTCAGTCTCACGCTGGAGCTTTTCTTTCTCAACTGCCCTACTTCTGCTTCTCACTATGTCGATATTTTCAAAACGAACGCAATTCTGGATTGGTATTTGACATACTGGACACGGAATATAAGAGGTGCCACTGTTACTAAATCTGTTTACATATTTGTCAATTTCATCAATGTAAAAGACATGGCCGCATGAATTGACTTTAAACAGTTGTTGATTCTGCTTATTGTTACTTCCGCGTTGTTCACTCTTCTGTTTAGAGATTTCATTTTCTGCTTCTCTGTTTGTATCACCCTGTGAGCCTGGGGATGGTTTAGTATTTCTGGTCGCTCTGTTAACCTCATCTAGTACAAAGTGTTGCGTAATCTCCGAGATTTTGTCACATTTTGCGCAGACACAAAGCTCTCCACAGAGCCCAGAACATGGATGCTGGCATGAAGATTTATACTTTTTGCAGTATTTAGCACAAGGCTTAACATTGCAGGTTTTGGAACAAACTCTCGTATATTGCAAATGCGGACATCTATAATTCCAGCTGGCCGTGCAAGGAGGGCAAGTATGGCTGCAGAGGGGAGGTTTTCTTTCCCGAAAACATGCTCCATGGCGGCACTGGTTGGGACATTGCTGGGTACATGGCAGGCAAGGTGTACTGCAGAAACCGCCACAAGTATGTCCGCACGGAAGGGGCAACATGCATTTCTCTTGACATGCTACATGAACGATTCCTTGCAAACACTCAGAACATGTTCCTTTGCATGTGTGCCCACATTTAAGTTTTACGCCGCAGATCTCCTTACAAGGCAGATCCTCTGATGGCGTCCCGTGACAAGGAGTTTCCTCAACATGGCCACACTTTCTACGGTACTTCACTGGAGCTTTACATATTTCATGTTCTCCCTTTATGTTGCATTTTCCACATATACCATTACATTGATGTCCGCACTGAAGATTTGATCCACAGACATTCTTACAGGCATACTGGAGTTTTGGCAGGTTGCAAGGTACTTCTTCAGAATGTCCACAATCTCTGACACGCACAACTGGTTCTTCACAAATGGGGTGCTTGCCTGTTTTGCTGCACTGACTACATATTCCCTTACAAGCATGACCACAATCCTGTTGTGCTCCACAAATTTGCTTGCACGTACGACTGGGCGTTGACAACAGACGTGAATGCAGGCGAGCATATGTTATTGCATTTCTTGAAATATTTTGAAAGCGGGACTGTGTTATGTAACAAGGCACCTTTTCTGTATGACCACATGGCCATTTGTGGTCAACTTGGACTTGACATTCATCGTGCTTTCCTTTTAACTTGCACTGACCACATATTCCAGGACATACATGTCCGCATTCACGTTTTACTCCACACACTTGCTTGCAAGCATAGCTGGACACTGAAGATAGGCGCGAACGTGCCAGAGCTGATGTCAAGAAACTTCTGTCTATATCTTGATTGCTTGACTTTGTTATGTAGCAAGGCACGTTTTCTGTATGACCACATGGCCACTGGTGGTCAACTTGGACTTGACATTCATCGTGCTTTCCTTTTAACTTGCACTGACCACATATTCCAGGACATACATGTCCGCATTCACGTTTTACTCCACACACTTGCTTGCAAGCATAGCTGGACATTGAAGATAGGCGCGAACGTGCCATAGCTGATGTCAAGAAACTTCTGTCTATATCTTGATTGCTTGACTTTGTTATGTAGCAAGGCACGTTTTCTGTATGACCACATGGCCACTGGTGGTCAACTTGGACTTGACATTTATCGTGCTTTCCTTTTAACTTGCACTGACCACATATTCCAGGACATACATGTCCGCATTCACGTTTTGCTCCACACACTTGCTTGCAAGCATAGCTGGACGTTGAAGATAGGCGCGGACGTGCCAGAGCTGATGTCAAGAAACTTCTGTCTATATCTTGATTGCTTGACTTTGTTATGTAGCAAGGCACGTTTTCTGTATGACCACATGGCCACTGGTGGTCAACTTGGACTTGACATTTATCGTGCTTTCCTTTTAAATTGCACTGACCACATATTCCAGGACATACATGGCCGCATTCACGTTCTGCTCCACAAACTTTCTTACAGAAGTGGTCCAACTTTGTTGTATAACAAAGTACAGTTTCATTATGCCCACATGGCCATTTATGGTCAATTTCAACAACACATTTATCGTGTTCACATATGTCTCTACACTGACCACAAAAACCGGTACATGGGTGTCCACAGTCTAATACGCTAATGCAGCTGAATGGACAGATAATAGTCTCTACTAGGACATGGCATTGGATTTGATCTTCGTGTTGGCCACACGGCATCTGTTTCAGTACCAGCACTGGACAAAGACACTTCTCATAGCACAATTGCTTACAGGGATGTCCAGCGGAACACGTTCTAGCGCATGGCTTTTCGCATTGGTAGATGATGTGATCAAGATCATACCCATGACACATCATGGAACAAATATGTCCGCAGTCCAGCCGGAACTCACATGGCTGCCCACAGCCTCCTTCTGGAAATTTAAGGAAATCTTTTTCAGAAATCATAATTTCCCGAACATCTGGGTGGTTATGGCAATGCACCGGTAGACCACGACCAATAGTGTCTTCAGCAATGGCAGTTTTAACGATCTTTTTCCAAAGCTTGCTGTGTTGAGCGAAAAGCTGTAGGTTACCAATAGCAAACAACCCTTTCCTGGCTCTTGACAAAGCCACACAGACTCTGTTGTCCACTTTGAGAAAGCCAACCTGATTTTCATCGTTGCTTCGGACAAGAGACAAAAGAATGACATCATTTTCCTCACCCTGATAGTTGTCCACAGTTGTCACCAAAACGTTGGGGTCTAGCTTTTGTTCTTTCATGACTTTTCTGATTTCAAAAACTTGACCTGAATATGTTGCAAGGATTGTAATCTGTGATACCTTGTAGTCCTGGTGTAACAGGAACTTGCAGAAGGCTACAAGGAACCTTGCCTCGTATGTGTTTGCTTTGCTCATTGATTCATCCAAACATGTTTCAATGTGTTCATGTTGAATGAAGAAAATATTCTTTCCGACGCCCTGGATATTGTCAAAGTCTATGACAGATGGGTGGTCTTTAAGATCTGGATAGATATGACGCATTATTTGAGAAATCTCTGGTCGCATTCTGTGTTGTTCTTTCAACATTACATGTGGAATGTTGTTCTTGATGAGCCTCTCAAACAAGGAGATTTCAAGACCAAAGTCTTTGGCCAGCTGGTAGACTGTTGGGTTGGGTCGCAGCTGTTGATGATCCCCGATTAAGATGAGATGTTTACAGTGTTTGTTTAGAGATGTCACAATGTGAGATTCCAAGACTTCTGCTGCTTCTTCAACAACTATAATTCTACAGCCTACAGCTTGTAGGACACCCCTGAGTCTGGCGGCTCCAGAAGTTGTCATTCCAATCACTTTAGCTTCGCTTAGCAAATCTATTGTCTCGAGATTATCAGCATCCCTTTGTTTATCTTGTTCAGACTTATACTCGATGATAAGGTCTTTCATTTGCTCAGTAAGATCCTGTTTGTATCTGTGCACCCACAAATTATACAGGGCAAACCTTTTGTCCAGCTCTAAACTCCACAGGGACGTCACGTTGCTCTCTTCTTCTTCTGTCATTGGTTTAATGAACCGCAGCTTTTTGTGCATGGTTCGCAAATTTAATTTACCCTTGGACACAGTTTTCCATTCACTGCTGTCCAAATCATCTTCCATCAACACATCGTCTCTAATGCCAAGTGCTTCAGCTCTCTTAACGGCAGACGTCACACTGTTGACAGCAGCCTTAACTTGGGTCCTAATTCTGTTTTGGTGAATGACATCGGCATCAACCATGCGATCATTTTGTTCTTTTATGAACACATAATCAGGACCCAAGGATTCCTGTTCGTCTTTCTGATGATCGTTTTTCTTTGCTAGCAACTGGACATCATCCAGCTGCTGGTGAAGACTTTTGTCGGGCCTCAGAATCCAGTTTTCAATAATTTTGTCATCACTATCATTCACCGTCTTGTTAAGTAAACTGGAATACTCACATATCATTTTAAATTCTTTTTGATGTAGAACCATATTAAGTTGGTGATCAGGCAATATTTGTGTTTTTGCAGTGTTTAGCCAGTGCTGTATTTCATATATTCTTTTACGGCTAGCTGGAGATGATTGCTGAGTGGAAAGATATTGCATTTCTCCTTTGAGTTCATGTTCAAACCTTTTTAAATAATAACAGTAGAAATGTGCTCTCTGGATTATGTCCATGCCTGGTGATAATGTTACCTTCTTTGACACTTCTTTAGTTCTTAAAACAAGCATAGTCAGATGCTGCCTGACCATCTGAGATAGTACTGACTGGGTTGTGTGTTTGGGAGTAAAAAGCCACGCACGTATAAGTGAATCACCATTCTTTATTTTCAATCTTTCATCAAAAAAAGATTTTAGATGTATGACTTTCATATATTTAGTTATAGTTTGGTCTTTTACAATATCTGTTTGTAGCAGCTCCATGGTTTGATTAAGGTTACTTATTGTGCCAGAAATCTCTTCCATTCTAGAACTGTCAAATATAATTCTTCTTTTCCCTTTTCTCCACTTGTCCTTCAGGCTGTGCAAGTTGAACATGTTTAGTTTTTCTGATTTGCTCTGGCCACCAACACGAACGATACCCTCAGGACAAAAGGTAAGAACACCTTCAAGAAACTGATCAAGGGCATGGTTTTTGTAGCAGATGACAAGGATAGGGTTACCACGTTTCTTTTTATGTCCTGCTATTGTTTCCTGGTTCTCGATAAAGGCTTGCATGACCTTGAGTCCTACATATGTTTTCCCAGTGCCTGGAGGCCCTTGAATGATTGCCAACTCTTTGGTCAATGCTAACTGGACAGCTGATGTCTGGGATTCATTTAAGCACATTGCATCAGCGTTTGGCCATTTGACCGTTGTAAGAACAGGAACCATGCGTGATAATTTATTGTGCATTAAACATGATAAATCATAGACCGGTAAGCTACCAGAGGATAGCAAGTACTTGGGTGGTTTCAATTCTCCCTTACAGTAGATGATGTAATCTTGCAGTGGTATTTTTTGGGTCATCATTTTAAGGCCTTCAAGCACATGACAATAAGATTCAAAGTAAGTGGTTGTCTCGGCCATGACATACACATCACTGAATGTAGAGTGGAAAACTTCATCAATACCTGTTTTAAAGTTGACAACAATAAATCCCTTTTCCAGCTGTGATATATCCTGTGTCACAGTTGCAAAGATAACGGTTTCAAAGTTATCTTTTGACAGACATAAAAGAGAACCAAACAGTAAGGGTTTTGAATTTTCCCATCGGAAACGTTGAAATTTAACATCATCGACATGAAGAACGTGATCAATTCTTTTGTCAACTATGGTCCCAACGATCCGTACGTTAAATGAAAATTTCAAATTTGATGATTTGAAACCTGGTTTGCCGTGATTTTTCTTGAATTCTGCAATTCCTTCTCTAAGTGGAATGATGAAGTCTTGCCTCAAGAGGCGGAACTGAACATCGAGGTACTGGTGTACATCTTCATATCCTTCGTCAATCTTCGCACAGCGGATAAATGGAATAGCGTCCTCTTGTAGCTCTCCTTTTGTCGGCAAGATTGGAAGTTCCAAAAAATTATCTGGAGGTTCTTCTAACTTGTTAGACATCCATATCCCACCATGTGATTTCTCTTTCAACTTTTTCTCTTCCAAAAAAACTGTCTGTGACTTTTCATAAAGAGCTGTAATATCAGTCAATAAAGACCTGCTTTCTTTAACTAATTCTGTGCACCGAGCCGTATCAAGAAGATCTGAAGCCACCGTCATACAGGTTTTAGCAAATCTGGGTACCTTGTTTAATATTTCTGCTAGCATTTTTGTGCAAGACATGAAAAACTCTTCTGCCTCATCCCAGACATCGTCACTTATTTGCTTTTCTTTGGTGTACATGATCAAATGGTCGAAGAATTTAGTTCTAGAGAAGTTGTCCAAAAATTGTTTTATTGTTTCTTGTTTGAGGTCAGCACCCAGCGCTTTCTCAACAGCTTTGATGAGAGACAAGAGACAGTCTTCCTGTAGCTTCTGCTGATCAAGAAATACCTCCAGTTGCTTCATGTGGGGGGAAATCAATGCAAGCAATAGGTTCGAGTCTTTCATTTCTGACCATGTTTTCAACAAAGTCAAATCTACCGGTTGCTGTTTACTGTGGTTAATCGGGTAGCTTTTGCTGTGTTGATTTTTGTTTAGATCTGAGAATTGTTGAGAGGTAAATTCTACCGTTTTTATTCTGTCTTGTTCCTGCCTAATATCTTTATCTCTTCCCCAGTCTCCGTCACTACGAGAAGCTAAAAAAATAAAAATAAAATAAAAATAAAAATAAAATAAAAACACACAATAAGATGGTTTTACATAATTATATCTATTCTAACATTTTGCATTTCCTCACTTAGTCAACTGTCTTTATTGCCTGCTGAACAATGTTTACGACAGTGTAAATCAAATGGAAAAAAAACAAAAAACTCTTTATCTAAATTTTGAGCCCTGGACTCTTCATGAGAGCACAAAGTACTAACCGTTTGGTCAGACGGTCTCTTCATTCGTAGTCTTCTTCTTCTTCGCGTTCACCAGCTGTAAACTCTGGCGGAAGTTTCTGGTTGCTCGTCCACTACTGAACTGCAGTCCTGCTCCAGAACCTGAGTGTTGCGTGTGCATCAGTTTTACAGATCTCATTCTCTTGAATACAGACTGTTGGTTCCTTGCCTCTCCGGCAGATGCACTCTGACTTCAAAGGAAGCTCCCCAATTAGTCGACTCTTACGACATGCTTTTGGGAAGGCAGTGGGTCTATTCTTGTTTTCCCCACAATGGGGCCCCGGAACCCACACGGGGGTTCATTCGTAGTATTAGTAATAATCAAAAGGGGGAAAAGCATTTTAAAGACACGTTTACATAGTGTTGTAGGCGTCTTAGGCTTAGGCGTTACGAACGAGCTTCCTAACGCTGGGGTGCCTGGTTTGATCCTAGGTGTGGACAGT